AATTGAACCTTGAATTAGAAACAGAGAGGGCTAGGGTTAAACAAATTTGGGCCATCTCGAAGCAAATTCAAAACGGAGGAGAGGGTGTGGGGAACTTACCTCGTCGGTCGGGAGAGATGTAAAGGCGCCGGGAGAGATGCAAATCCGCTGTCGCCGGTGGGGGAGTCGAATCGGCGCAAGACGAGAGAGAAACAGAGACGAGAGAAGACGAGAGAGAAAACGGATGGATGAGGCTCCGTTAATTTGTGGTGGAGTAGATCTAAAATCTGTTGATTTAATCTGAGCCATTGATTTAAAATATTAATACATCCAAGGGCTTAGATTTAATATGTCATCCAATGACATTTAGTCTTAATGTCAGCTGAACCCTGGCGGTTCTACTAAGGTGCAAAAAAAAAAGACTAAACTCCATTTTTGGTCCTTCAACTTTATCAGTTGTGCACGATTGGTCCTTCAAGTTTCAAAAGTTCATAAATAATCTTTCAACTTTATGAGTTCTACACCATTGGTCCTTCAAGTTTCAAAAGTCCATAAGTTGTCCTTCAGGTATACGTCAGTCCTCCTCCATATGAAGTCCCTTTGACAATAAATATTAAATGTTAAATGAAATACTAGTTTCATATAATACAAGTAAATTCCACTAGGTACGACTACTCCGTATTATATGGAGCTAGAATTTCATTTAGCTTTTAACATTTACTGTCAAAAAGACCTCATCTGGAGAGCTGACGTGTATTTGAAAGACTATTTATGTACTTTTAAAATTTGAAGGACCAATCGTGCATAACTCATAAAGTTGAAGGACTATTTATGGACTTTTAAAACTTGAAGGACCAATCGTGCACAATTGATAAAGTTGAAGGACCAATGGTGGAGTTTAGCCAAAAAAACAAAGTTCCCCAATACAGTATAAGTACCTCCAGACTGATTGGATACATCAAAGACATACATGTTATGATCTCAAGTCAACATGCCACACTAGAAATACGATATACGTAGTAAATAATAGGGAGTATAGTTTATAATCTAAGATAAGAAGGAGATGACTGCATTTGGTGAGGCTCTGGGATAAGAGAGTAAGGTCTGACCTATCTTGATAAAATCACTAACGTCTTCAACGCGAACCCCAATCACCATCTCTTCCAAGGCGGGTGCCCTCTTAAGAAGGTTTCGGGCCAGTGTCAGCAATGGCTCGCCCCCTAGTTTTGGATCTGCCATGCTATACAATTTAACTGTCTTCAAATGCAACAAGTCACAGCCCATATCACTCCTTCCAGGTAGGACCCAGTTCTCTTCAGCAATCTACAAACATGACAAATTTAAACCAACACCACCAGACAACCAAATCTTGGGTTAGTATACCCTATTTCCAATGCTTTCTATATCTATCTGTCTCATTTTCTTTTTCATGTCTTGTGGAACCAGTTGAATTGAGTCAACAACCCAATCAATGAATTACGGAGTATTAATGACCAAATAATATTCTTATCACCAATTAGTATGTTATTACATACTCTGTATTCCGTATTACAGAGTGTGTAACATTCTAGTCGGACATTTAGTTGGCTAAAATGGAAATAACTATAGCAGATTAAATTGTACTTATACCATTATATGAAGTAGTATATAGTGCTTGATTTTTTAAGATGATAGTGAGCAATAATTTTTAGGTATTAAATGTTCATATTTATTCTTAGATTAAAATTAGGTTGTCATGTAAATAAATCAATATATTTTAAATAACAAAAATTATACCCAGTATCAAATTAAATATTCCAAAATACTCCGTACTACTGTACTCCCAAATCATTGGACCAAAAACAAATTTTAATTTCTAGTCCCCTTTCCTTCTCCTCATCTTTATACCAAACAAGGTTTGAGCAGATCACCTAGAAAAGCTGACTAAAAAAGATATGAATACTCAATACTTACTTCTTTGGGGTCATAACGCTCTATGATCAATGTCTCAAGGTTGGGAGAAGATTCCAGAAGGCCTAAAATGGCAGAAATGTTTTCTTCATCATGGATAAACCTGTTTATTTTCAAACACCTTCGCATAGATTTCGGAAGCTGCCAAGGACCCAGCAACAACGCTGCTGCAAGAGCCTAGTGTACATGTTGCAAAACAAAAAAAAAACATATGGACTATACAGGGTAAGAAATCAGTGAAAATATTGGATAAAACAATAGAAGTTATGTACATTCATCTGTTTCTCACATTCCGAATCACTGATCTACCAGGCCATCATTAAAAGAGCCATCATAATTTCATTTGAATATACAAATGCTCAGCATGCAGCAGCAAAAGTTAAATGCCTTTTGGTGTTAGCAGACACAAAAAAACATTACACTTATTAGTGGAATAAATGCTGCCAACTCAGGATTAGCGATAGCCAGTAGCAGGGATATAACTAGGTAAATTAGACGTAAAAAATTGAGTAAAATCCATAATTGATCCTTTATAACAGGGGGGTTTCCATAATTAGTTCTCTATTATCAAATATTACCTCCGTAGTCCTTTTTTAAGGGTACCTTTTCACAAATGATTCTTTTTTATCTTCTGCTGTGTTGGTGTTAATTTAAAGGCTAAAAAGTATCAACATTATGTCTACTGGCGTGTTCTGATATTGGTTAAGCAGATAACACAAAAATAATGACTATGATTGTAGGCTGGGATTATGAGGAAAGACCATATCTGTAGACTATGGTTGTAGTAGAAAGCCAATGTAATTCACAAATATATTATCATTGTGAAATTACACTTTTAGCCCTCAAATTAACACCAACATGATAGATGATAAAAAAGAACTATTTGTGGAAAGATACTCATAAAAGAAGGACCGTAATATTTGATAATAGAGGACTAAATAGGGAAACCCCCATGTAATAAAGGACCAATTATAGAATTCGCTCTAAAAAATTCTAGAAAATATGGCTCGCAAAATTGCATCAGTATTGCTCGCAACCAATTCTGTTTGTAAGTTTTAACTCTTTCTTAGAAAAATAACAATCGTGTACCCATGGCACTCTTGATGGTATTATGGTAATAATATCTTTGATAATATAAATTGCAATTGACCATTGAAAATATACAAGAAAGCTTAAATTTCGTCTAGTGCTATTCTTAAAAGCCTCTGTGAAAGTATAGGTTTGATGCTGACATATACAAACTAACAAAAGGCAACCTATCTTCATACTCCCTTTGTCCCAAATATATTATTCCGTTTTCATTTTGGTCATTTTCATTGCCTCAATTCCTAAAATAAAAAAAAATATGGACCCAAATAAAGGCATGTCTCGCTTACTTACTAATACTGTAACCAAAAAATAGATTCAATAGCACTCAAAAAAAATGTAACCAAAATAGAGTTTTTCCCTAAACTTTTGGAAACAACCTCTTCCACTTGTGCAGAGAAAAAGTTTGACACATTGCCAAATTGACATGAGACAAGATGCAGATGTCGGAGCGATACCAAATCTGCAGTTTCTTGGACAAATGAACACATCCATTTTGAAAACAATGAAAAACAAGAATTGAATTGAAGGAGAGGAAAATCCATGTTTGCCAAATTTGGAGAAGTGTGCCTAAAATATCAGTTCACACTTCACCACAAAAGAATGCTAAAAGAGATTAAAAGATTGTTAAATACCTTAATGATATCACATCCCAGTTCAAGCTCCGTCACATGTTGAGTGCTGTCAAAAATATCCTTTATATGACTCAGCACGTCTTGAGAGCCTAAATTCCAATCGTCAATCAAGGAAAAACTAGCACTCACAAGAGATGAGATGTTAGACAGCTTCAAGTTTGAGTCTGAAGGATAGAACGACATATCCAAAGATTTAAGATGTGGTGCTGAGATTTTAAAGATATCATCATCAGAACTTTCGTTAAATGATTCATGAACAGATAGTTCACCAAGGTTTTGAGAATGGATCTCGAAACAAGTGAATCCCCAACATTCACTCAAATACAAGCTCTTCAAAACAGGACAACCAGATAATATATTGTCAACTACGAGCTGAGGTAGATAAACATCGGAAATATCTAAAGAAGTCAATGACGGCCACTTGATTGCTCTTTCAGGTTCAAAAATGCAGCCGAGCAAAGATAGTGATGTCAAGGACGAATATGTGTAGATCATCTCATGAAGAGGGTAGGATTGCTTTGAAAACATTAGGGCCAAAGAGACATGTTTCACCTTAAGTTTCAAGGCAGCCCCAAGCCAGCTATCAACATCGGAAGCAAAGCATTTGTTATACCTGAATTGAACGTCCAACTTCTCCAGACACTTCCCACGGCGAGTAGCAAGGGTCTTATGAACCCTAGCCACAAATTCACGTCTTGCCTGAGTAATCTTATCGCGGCTCTCCCAGTCCTCCCAGAGAGAGAATTCAAGGGTGGGCAATTCGGTCCAAAGTAATTTCCATCTTTTCCCGAGAAGACTCGTAATTGCAGCTTTCTTCAAACCCAGAAAAGAGAGGATGTGAATGAGCAAGCAATCCGGCAAGGCACTGAGCCTATCCACTTCCATCTCCTTCATCCGTTTGTTCGCTGTATCATTTGCCGTCAGAGTAACTTCAACATTATCAGCTCCAGATTCTCCTCCTTCCCTAAATTCATTTTCTCCAGCCTGCTTTTGTGTTTCATTAGCTACACATTCGTCCATCGTGAAACAGAGCAACAAAATACTGCACACTAATTGACAGTTAAGAGGATCAACAATTAACAACTGACCATACCGCCGCCGGCAACCCCTTTTCTCTCCACTTCCTTTCTCTTTCCCAAATTCAGATCTATCGCTTTATGATAAGGCACAAGTGTCCGACTGTTCCAACATGATTGGGAAAAAAAGTTGAAAAACAACGATTCTTTGGTTCAAAAATGGCAGGGATAGACTAAAAATTGTACCTATAAGTTCGATTTTGATTTTAGAGTTAAAATTTGACACAAATTTTAATTAATTCTAATTTGAATTTATTAAGTTCTAAAATGATATAATCTAATCTATTCTTAACTTGTATGATTTGATCTGAATGTATCTAATTCAATCTGAATGTATTGTAACTTAAAGCTATGGTTGGCCCCATCTGAATTTATATGGTTTGAATTTACCTAATATGATTTGAATTTATTTGTTGTGATTTATTATTATTATATTATTATTATTTATTATTATTATTTTGCTAATGCACTCTCCCTTATAATTTGAAATCCAAGAAATTAGATTTTACAAATCAAATAAAATCAAAAGTTCTCAAACACTAGCCGAAGGCATTTTATTAAGTCATATCTAAATTAAGAACCATGCTACACTTACACCAAAAAATATACCCCATTTGTACACCACAGGTTTGCACAAACATTTCGATGGTTTACACCGATACAAGTGTTGGTGCGTTAATAAAAATTCACACGGACACAAATGTTGGTGCATTTAACGAAAATTAGTTTTACACCAACACATAATGTTGGTGCAAAACTGCGGGGTACAAATTGGGGTACAAATCTTGGGGTACACATAGCATAATCCCTAAATTAAATACCCCATACACTTTAACACTGGTGCACTTGGAAAATGATTGTTCTACTAAGCACATCCCGACTCATTGGATACATCAAAGACTTGTTCTTGGAAATATGATAACAGTCGGGGGAGGGAGTAACAGAGAAGTAAATAATCTAAGATAAGAAGGAGATGACTGCTTTTGGTGAGGCTCTGGGATAGGTGAGAAGGGCCTGACCTATCTTGGCAAAATCACCCACGTTTTCAACGCGAACCCCAATCACCATCTCTTCCAAAGCGGGTGCCCTCTCAAGAAGGATTCGTGCCAGCGTCAGCAATGGCTCTCCCCCTAGTTTTGGATCTGCCATGCTATACAATTTAACCGTCTTCAAATGCAACAAGTCACAGCCCATATCACTCCTTCCCGGTATGACCCAATTCTCTTCAGCAATCTGCAAACACGACGAATTTAAACCAACACCATCAAACAACTAAATCTTGGGTTAGTAGACCCTATTCCCAATGCTTTTGCTATCTCATTTTGTTTTTCATGTATTGATCAATGTTCCAAAAACTGGAAGAGATGTCGAAACAAAGAAATAACCTTGTCAACCAGATTGAACTGAGTCAACAACCCGGTCAATGAATTAGTAATGGCCGAATCATAATTTTATCACCTAATAGTGTGTCATGATATACTCCGTATTACGTATTACAGACATTCTAGTCATACGTTTACTTGGGTGAAATGAAAATAGCTACAGCAAATTAAATTATACTTATATGTAGTAAATACTTCTTGATTTTTTAAGATGATAATATATTTTAGGTATTCATTGTTCATATTTATTCTTAGATTAAAATTAGATGGTTATGTATATAAATCAATATAACTTAAATAACAAAATTGTATCAAATAAAACATTCCCGAATACTCTGTACTACTTTACCCCAAATCATTGAACCAGAAACAAATTTTAAAGCAGCCTCCAATTCAAATTTTTCATCCCCTTCCCCAACCCTCAACTTTATACCAAACAAGGGTTAACCAAATCACCTAGAAAAGCAGACTAAAAAAAGATTGAATACTGGATACTTACTTCATGGGGATCATAACGTTCTATGACCAATGTTTCAAGGTTGGGAGAAGATTCCAGAAGGCCTAAAATGCCAGAAATGTTTTCTTTATCATGGATAAAGCTGCTTATGGTCAAACACCTTCGCATAGATTTCGGAAGCTGCCAATGACCCCGCGACAAAACTGCTACAAGAGCCTAGGGTTCATGTTACAAAAAAAAAAAAGAATATACAGGGTAAGACCTTAGTGAAAATATTGGATAAAACAATACAAGTTCTGTATATTCATCTATTTCTCACATTCCGAATCACTAATCTTTCACTCTATCAGGCCACCTTTCTAAGAACCATGTCATTATTTCATTTGAATATATTTTAAATGCTCAGCACATGGCAGCAAAAGTTAAATGCCTTTTGGTGTTAGCAGACACAAAGAAACATTACACTTATTAATGGAATACTAACTCAGGATTAGCAATAGCCAATAGCAGTGATCTACTTGGTAAATTAGAAGTTAAGAAACTCTAGAAAAAAGGCTCCTAAAATCACATCAGTATTGCTATTCAGTTTGTTAATTTTAACTCTTTCTTAGAAAAATAACAATAGGGTACCCATGACATTTGGCCATCGAAAAATTAAAAGCAAGCAGAACTTTCATGTCGTGCTATTCTTAAAAGCCACTGTGAAAGGATATGTTTGATGCTGCAATATACAAAAGGAAGCTTATCTTCATACTCTCTTTGTCCTAAAGATATTATTCTGTCTTCATTTTGGTAGGTTCCATTTTCATTGCCTTATTTCCTAATATATAAGGACGAAAATAAAGGCACGTCCCCTTAACTAATACAGTAATACTGTAACCAAAATAGAGTTTTTTCACTAAGCATTTAAAAACAAACTCTTTCAAGTCTTTCATTTTTACAGAGAAAAGTTTGACACATTGTGTACATCTACCCCTCCCCCTCCTCCCACATGGTCTGCTGGGAGAATATACTAGGGAGGTGAGGTTGGGCACTTGTTTGTATGCCAAATTGACATGAGACAAGATGTTTATGTGGGAGGGACTAATAATCTGCTAAAGGATACCAGAGCTGCAGTTTCGTGTGCAATTGGTCATCTCCCATTTGAAAACAATGGACAAACAACAATTGAAGTGGAGAACTGGAAAACCTCTGTTTGCCAAATTTTGAGAAGGGTGCCCAAAAGATCAATTCAAAACAAAAGAATGCTAAAAGACATTAGAGGATTGTTAAATACCTTAATGATTTCACATCCCACTTCAAGCTTCTTGACATGTTGAATGCTTTCAAAAATTTCCCTTGTATTACTCAACATGTCCTCAGAGCCTGAATTCCAAACATCGTAGAAGTGAAAACTAGCACTAACAAGAGATGAGATGTTAGAAAACTTCAACTTTGTGTCTAAAGTATCTAACGACGACACATTCAAAGATTTAAGATGCGGTGCTGAGATTTTAAAGAAATCATCATCAGAACTTTCTTGGAATGAGTCATGAACAGATAGTTCACCAAGGTTTTGAGAATGGATCTCGAAACAAGTGAATCCCCAACATTCACTCAAATGCAATCTGGTCAAAACAGGACAACCAGATAATATGTTGTCGAGTATGGGCTGAGGTAAATATACATTGGAAATATCTAAATATGTAAATGACTGCCACTTGATTTCTCTTTCAGGTTCAAAAATGCAGCCGTGCAATGATAACGATGTCAAGGACGAATATGTATACATCTTCTCTGGAAGAGTATAGACATGTTCGGAGAACAGCGAGGAGCTTAGGGACAAAACGACATGTTTCACTTTAAGTTTCAATGCAACCCCAAGCCAGCTATCAACATCGGAAGCAAAGCATTCGTTGTAGTGGAATCTAATGTCCATCTTCTCCAGACACTTCCCATGGCGAGTAGCAAGGGTCTTATGAACCCTAGCCACAAATTCACGTCTTGCCTTGGTAATCTTATCGCGGCTCTCCCACTCCTCCCAGAGAGAGAATTCAAGGGTGGACAATTCGGTCCAAAGGAATTTCCATCTTTTCCCGAGTAGACTCGTAATTGCAGCTTTCTTCAAACCCAGAAAAGAGAGGATGTGAATGAGCAAGCAATCCGGCAAGGCACTGAGCCTATCCATTTCCATCTCCTTCATCCGTTTGTTCGATATACCATTTTCCGTCGAATTGATTTCTACATTATCAGCTCCAGATTCTCCTCCCTCCCTAAATTCACTTTCTCCGGCCTTTTGTGTTTCATTAGCTAGACATTCGTCCATCGTGAAACAGAGCAACAAAATACCACACACTAATTGACAGTTAAGAGGATCAATTAACAACTGACCATACCCTCGCCGCCGGCAACTTTCTCTTCCGCCGCAAATGAGATCTATCTTCAATATTCTTCCCTATTTTCATTTCAGCTGCTCCCCGAATTATCTTCCTATTTGGGCCAGTCAAATTTTTTGGACTACTCCGTATATAATATGAAAAGAAAATTGGGGAGAAAATTTATTAAATTATGATACTCGTATAAATTAATTTTTTTGAAAAATTAATTTGGAATATGTAAAGTATGAAAAAATGGATATTGTAATTTCAAGGGAAAAATAAACTACTTGTCCACTTTTGAACAAATGTTATCATTCCTATTTTTTCACACTCCATTGGTACTAAGTTTTCTTACTTTAACATCATAAACAATAGGAAACAATGTGAAAAAAATATTAACAAAGTGAAATGTTAGTACAAATTAAAAAATATTAGAGACTTTCTCACACATAATGAAAATTTTCACTTCTCTTTTTTCTTTATCTCATGATAATTGTTTTATTCTTAACAAATTACGGAGTACAAAAGATTATGTTGCTTAAATTACTTTTTTCTTTTGAAAAGAATCAAATAATTAACCAAATTATTTAATATTTTGCCAAAATCTGTCTTTTCCACGCTTTCTTAATTTGGATGAAGTCAAAGAGAGCAAAATTCAATTGGGAAATGTGGTTATTTTTTACAAAAAGAAATAGTAAAAAGCAAAAAAAAAAGTATTTTCGATGCTTGAAAAAGAAATGGAGAATTTTTAAAACACATAAAATTAGTATAAAAAAGGTTATCAAACACCAATGGAATAATCTACTTATCCTATGAGCAATAGATTATTGTACACAAGGGCATTTGAGGAAGCAAAATGAAAGAAAATAAAGGATGGAATGTGGATAGTAATATTTGGTGTGCCAAAATCACTACCCTTAATATTAGATGCACATCAAGTCGCATGCAAGACGGAGTGAAATTTAACTACAATTTTATCTATCATTTAATTATTAAATTTTTATTGTCATTAACTAAATATAACTAACAATGTACTACGGAGTATGAAATTGAACTCATATTATATTTCTTACATTTAGGGCCTGTTTGGGAATAGCGTTAGCGATTAGCGTCAGCGTTTTGGATAAAATTTTAACGGTGCAGATTAATTTGAAAACGCTAACGCTAAACGCTGCTCATAGATAGCCTTTTGAAAACGCTAACGCTAATCGCTAAAGCTATTCCCAAACAGGCTCTTAGTACTTATGTATCTTTTCTTTTAAAATTTAGATGCCAATTGAAATTCTATTGGAGATGCCATTGGTGTACCAAACTCGCATTCTTGATGTAACTAGAGAACATGATCTTTATGATGTACACAAACAAAAATTGTCAATGAATTTTTCTTCCATGTATGGATTGGGGTACAGCAAGGCTAATTTCTACGGAGTATGAAATAAATTATATGAAAGAGTATTTAAAAAGTATAGAGATATCACCCACACAGAACACAAGCCAGAATATTAGTAGCGAAAATGAAATTGCCCCAACAAGCCCAATAAACATACACACAACCTTGCCCAAAAGACGATTTTCAATATACCCTTGATGCATTGATGTGTTAATTTCCAAAACCCTCATAGAATGCAAGAAAAAATGAAACTTTAATGTGTCCATTGTTTACACATAGCTAGAAACACCAAACAAATGAGTCTTTTACCTTGGTAATAAAAATACTTGGTGATGGCATATCAGCAGTCTCACATAGCTAGCAATATGATGCCCATCTGTCTCTAAAAAAGATTGGTTTGGTTTTTACGCAATTTAAGAAGGAAAAAAGCCATAATCTAATGGGGGAGGAAGAAGATGACTGCATCTGGTGAGGATCTGGGGTAAGTGAGCAAGGTTTGGCTTATCTTGCCAAACTCACTCATTCCTTTGATGTTACGATCCTCAATTGTCATCTCTTTCAAGGCCGGTGCCCTCTTAAGAATGATTTGGGCCAACGTAAGCAATGGCTCACCCCCTAGCTTTGCATCCGCCAAGTCAGACAATTTAACCGTCTTCAAATAGGGCATGTCGCAACAAAGATCACCCTTTGCAAGTGGGATCCAAGTCTTTTTTTTCTGCAACAGACACAAACCAATCGTGAACCTTAAGGAAAGTAAATGACATAGTTTTATACAACGTTTGATAACAATGCTTTCAGTTAGTGTTTTTCTCAAATTTTTTGATGATGCTGATTAACTTTGAAACACAAAAGCAGAACACTGAAGGTGTTGCCAAACATGCGCTTTAAAAAATCTCCCACTTAATCTCTCATTCTATTTCCTTTCTACTGTCTTTCAAACCAAAAAGGGCGCGGCAGAGCTAATTATTAGGATATGAATATTGGATACTTACACCATAGTTGTCATCACAATATATGATCAATGTCTCCAGGTATGGAGAAGATTCCAGCAGGGCCACAATGCAAGAAATGCTTTCTGCATTATTGCTAAAGCTACTTATTGTCAAACACCTTCGCGTAGATTTCGTAAGCTGCCAATTATTCGGCAACAACACTGCTAGAGCCTAGTATGCATGCAAGCAATCACAATTCAGTTTGTTAGTTTTATTTTAACTCTTTCTTAGATAAATAACTATTACCTGTTTTACCATTTGTGTCCAAAAGAAGCTTAGAGGATCAATATATACCTTCATGGCATCACGTCCCAGTTCAAGCTCCTTGACTTGTTGAGTGTTTTCAAATATCTCCTTAGTATTACTCACCACGGCCTCCGAGCATGGACCCCCAAAGTGAAAAGTCGCACTGACAAGAGATGATGTCTGAGAGAGCTTCATTTTTTTTTCAGGACGGAACCAAATATTCAAAGACTTCAAAAAGGGTGCTGAGATATGAAGGAAATCGAAACCTCCTGCTTCCTCAGGGTCATGAACCATAAGTTCACAGAGATTTTGAGATTTGATCAGCAAAAACGTGAATCCCCAACATCCAATCAGATACAAGCTTTTCAAAGCAGGACAGCCCGATAATATGTTCTCAACTACAGGCTGGGGCAAATCTACATTATAAATCTCTAACGATGTCAAAGATGGCCAACTGATGGCTCTTTGTGGTTCAATAGTGCAGCCGTCCAAGGACAATGATGTCAAGGAAGAACATGAACACATCTCCTTGTTAAGAGTATATAGATCTTCATTGTAGTCCATGCTCAAAACCACATGTTTCACCTCGAGTTTCACGGCAACCCGAAGCCAGCTATCAACGTCGGAAGCAAAGCATTCGATGAACTTGAATATAACGTTCAACTTCTCCAGAGACTTCCCGCTGCGAGTAGCAAGGGTCTTGTGAACCCTAGCCACGAAGTCACAATTTGCCTTAGTTTTCTCACCACTGAAATCCCAGAGAGAGAATTCAAGGGTGGGCAATTCGGTCCAAAGTAATTTCCATCTTTTCCCGAGAAGACTCGTAATTGCAGCTTTCTTCAAACCCAGAAAAGAGAGGATGTGAATGAGCAAGCAATCCGGCAAGGCACTGAGCCTATCAATTGGCATCTCCTTCATCCTTTTGTTCCCCACATCATCCTCCAACGAAATCATTTCTACATTTTCGAATCCAGGCTGCCGTTGTTCTTCGTTTGCTGACCTTTCTTCGTCACACATTGAATGGAACAACAATATACACACAAATCGACAATAAAGAAGAAAAATTAACGACTGACCGTACAACCACCGGCGACGCCGGTGAGCTCAACTTGCTCACCCTTTCCCAAAATCTGATCCTTAGGATCCTCTTCTCAGTACGACTTTGCTATTGGAATATGTATTCGGACCAGGGCTTAGGGTTTTTGAGGCAGGGTTAAGGTCATGTTCACATCATATAATTAGGATAAGTTTTGATTTAATAATCCAATTTATATATAATTATATTTAGGGCCTGTTTGGGAATAGCGTTAGAGATTAGCGTTAGCGTTTTGGATAAAATTTTAATAGTGTGATTACTTTTGTTATCCGTAGATAGCCTTTTCAAAACGCAAATGCTAATCGCTAACGATATTCTCAAAGAGACTCTTAAAAATGTTTTTAATTTAATTTAATTTTAATAAGAATAAGTAAAAAAATAAATTGAGGAGAACATAAGTTAGAATTAATTTGAAAGGTCAAAACTTTTTCTATGTAAATTCAGTTTTAACTCTTTTTTAATTTACACAACAATTACACTAGTAATATCAAGTTTCAAACTAGGGCTTTGCACTTTTTTTATTTTAAATATGTATTTTGAAAAAGTACATTAATAAGATTTCACTAATTAATTAAATTAAAATCACAATAATTCATTAAATAATAAATACATTATATAAAAGAAAGTACATTCAATTTAAAAAACACAAAAAATTACGTACATTAATAAAGAAACTACTTTGTCCCAATTTAAACCTTGATCTCTTTTTGTATTTTCTCATAATATATTCTTTTGAATCTTGTTGACGTATAAAGGTCTCTATCTTTCGTTTTTCCCTCTCTTGTTCTCGAAAATTGGAGAACCAAAATTGTTCAACTATTTGTCTCGTATTATCATCGTGAGAAGAAACAGAGTCACACCCAGAAGCCAATCCAATTAATTTTACATACTTTCTTCCAATCGGCTGTAGAATGGTGTTCTCGTTGTGTAAATTGTCTAGGTTCGCGAAAGGCTTTTATTCCAATGAATCAATAGTATCCTCCAAGACAATCTTGACGGAGAATATTTTCTTTGACAATCCAAATTCAGGGCGGTCTGTCAAATTCACTGGTGGGGTTTGCATTTGTGAAAATATTGGAAAGTTCCCAAACATTTGGTAAACCCACATTGCGAACTCGTGAGACTCAAGACTTTATGGAGGACCAGATGAAGGATTTGTGAAAAAAATTTTAAAACGGAGAAAAATATATGAAAGATGAGAAATAAGAGGGAGATGTATAAAGGGAAATACTAGAATATGAGTAAAAGATTACAAATATAACAAAATAAGAATTTTATGTTTTTATTTCTGAAATAAGAGTTAAAATACATATACAGTGCCAATCATGACTATATATACATTACCAAAAAGTATAGAAAAATATTCATGTACATTATCACATTATTACCGTGAGAACTCAT